ATAATAATAATAATTAGAATAAATTAAAGTGGAAAAAAAGGAAAAGATAAGAAAACTTATCGCAGGATCGCCCGTAAAACCGGACTGACCTTGAAGAAAGATAGCCCCCGTATCCCGATAGCTATTCGGACGGGTCTGGCTAGCTCGCTCCCAGGATAATCCTACCACGTTTCAGGCGTGTAGCTACCTTGACTGAAACCTTCGACCGTTGCCAAATTTGCCAAGTAATAGAGTAGCCTTGAATAATTATGAAAAGTATAATATATATATAATTATACGTTCTCTTCTTGGGATAAAAAAGTTAGTGGAGGAATTGACCCACTCAAAAATCAAAAGTGATTACGTATGATCAAAAGCTAGTGGCCAAAATAATGTAGAATGGGAGAGTTTTTCTTTTCCTTCTTTATACGTAGGAGCAGAGTCTAGAATTAGCATTCAGTACATCTCCTATATTGAAGCTATTTATAATAAAGAAGGAAACGAGTGGATTGTTTTGCAACGCATGGAAATCAAAGCTCATTAAACCTGAGTGTTGAACGGCAGAAAAACGAATCAATTGTAAAGATTCATCAATAGCATTAAGGATAATCATTTTGAATTTGAATTCAATTTAATAATCCAATCAGCCATTACATTGTTCACACAATTAGACAGTCTCTACAATTGCGAAATTAATCACATCACTTATAATCTGTCCGGTCAGAATCACACATAAGTGTAAATCAAAATGTCACATCACCTTATGCGATACTTGAACAATGTTCCTTATCACAAATGATTATATGTATTCATATGAGACTGTTTTCCTCTAATATAGAACAAATAAATTAATTGTTAAAATACATCACTTTACAATCTTTACAACTATGGATTCTAATTATAATTTAAATCCAAATATGTAAATTGTTCTTTGATGTATTATCAGCCTTCACTCCATATTTAATACAATTATTACTTAGAGCACAAAATTGTAACCCAAAAATAATAATATTTATATCATATTTCCAACACCTCTCACTAGGCACAGTAACCTGACAACCAACTGGACTGGAATGCTTGGTTTCCTTATTGTAGACATAAAACTAAAGACATTAACAAAAAACAGAACAACATAAACAAACTTAACGTAATAGTAAGACCATAAAAAATAAAACAGATGACAAATACTCCAAACTCCTTCGTGCCTGTATTCTCGAAGTATCATTTTCTAGGGCGGCGGTTCAGGAGGGGGGCGGTCTGCCAATCTATCTTCTTTATTGCTCGAAGCTCGATTCAGAAATTGCCACACAATTTTCCAATCGAAAGTATCAATCACAGACCTCCAGATTCGATCCATAGCAACAGTTCCAGAAACAACAATCATAGAGCTAGAAGGAGATCATGGATAGGCAGAACGTGATGGCAACTGCCCGCCCACTTACGCTCCAAATCATTCACCGGACAAGAAACGACGCAAACCGCCTGCCGGAAAGACAAACCCTAGACAAAAACTAGGGAGAAGACCACTTTTATGTTGGTATCGTTACCGCCTCCACTGCAATAGTGCAACCCCTATTCCAACAATGATGATGCAAGGTGTCGCTTGAATCTTGCTTCGCCATAAACCAAAATTGAGAGAACAAAACTAAAAAACATCTGCTCCGATCTCATGCTAAAGTACAAGGGCAGCGGCATCCTTGAACCCTAGAGAGAACATCCCGGTAATTTTTCTATGTTATAAATAGTACTTCACTTGATTTCATATTTATAGGACCCTTAAACTGCAACGGTACAATAACGTCTTTATTATAGAATTTCAAATTTATAGCCATTCCAACGGCTACATAGAGACTGGGACTGGGAGGATGAGTAGTGCTTCACCAACCAATGCTGAAACAAAAAAGATATCGTTGAGGTTAAAATCAATGAAGGGATTGCACGATACGGTCCCAAAATCAGTAACCAGGGACCAGGTACATAGTATCTAAATAATCCGGACAGGCAAGCCAGGGTCGTCTAATGACTTCGAGGTCCCGGTTATAAATGTAAAATCGAGGCCCCACATGAATATAAAAGAAAATTGAAAAAAATATCAATTCAAATACTTATATTCAAAACAATTGAATACTCATTAAAAAGGAATTAAAGAGTAAAAGGACCAACGAAAAAAATGATGGATCTATATTTTTCTTCCTTACTAAATGTATTTTACTGATCAGTGTTAATATATTATATTACTTCATACCACGTACTCCGTATTGTATAGTACTAAAAGATGTTTAATATTTTGGGGCCTCAAAAATCCGGATGTCCTGTTCTAGATAACCTTTTGAACCCCTTAAAAAACGGTCTTGTCCACAGGACCGAGACGATCCTAGACCCAAAACCGAAAAACCGGACCAAGTGTGATCTTCAATAGTATCGAAGCCGTTTCAGGACCAGGTCCTCCAATAGTGTGGAGTCGTAGCATTCACTTTACTTTAATGTGAGGTTATCTTTTCTACCGTACCGACTGGACAAACAAACGCATAAGAAGTCCTTAAACATAGAAACTCTCGTTACTTCCTTGAAGGCCAGGCATGCCGATATACCGGTTAAAGTGATCCAAATTTTCTAAAGGGGAAACTACTTGTTGGTTGGATTTGGTTATTTTCAAACGATTATTTTTACTTTAATAATTAGGTCGGAGTTGCTATATTGACAAACCATATATTGAGAAATACAGTATATGATTATTGACTCTGAGTCTAGACGCAAATCATTTCCTTTATTTAGATTCTTTGGGGACGACAAAAATTCCATATGTGCTAGCTAGGATTGAAAAATAAAGTAATTAAGAATATATAGTTGTCATTGTCTCATTGGTGCATAAAAAAGTAAATTAAAATCAAATGAGAACGACACTTTAGAAAATGAGTGTTTATACCGTGCAACCGGTATACGGTGAGCACCGTATACCGGTACGGTTTTTTTTTTCCTTTTGTTTTTAAAAAATTGTAATAACTTTTTTATTTTTGATCCGATTTTTATAAAATTTATATCAACATTTTATATTTTTCATGATCTTTCAAATGAGACCAATATTGCCTATGTAATTTTAACATATTACCATTTGCGTGTAAAATATGTAATTTTACGTGTTAAAATATGTAACTCACGTTCAGTCAGGCCAAATGCAACTCATGTGTATAAATATGTATCTCTACGTGTAACAATATGTAACTTTACGTAAAAAAATTATGTAACTCGCGTTCAGACAGGTCAAATGCAAGTCGTGTGTATAAATAAGTAACTCGCGTGTATAAATATGTAACTTTACGTGTAAAAATATGTAACTTTACGTGTAAATAAATATATGTAAGTCGCGTTCAAGCATGTCAAATGCAACTCGTGTTTATATATATGTAACCCGCTTTTAAAAAGATGTAACTTGCTTATAAAAAGATGTAACTTGCTTATAAAAAGATGTAACTTGCTTATAAAAAGATGTAACTCGCTCATAAAAAGATGTAACTCAATGTATTATCAAATGTAACTAAGGCCACTGATCCACTCCCAAACAGATTCGATCTTCTATTTCACAAACCTATCATCTACCAAACAGATTCGATTTTCCTTATAATCCAATACTCAATAATATAATAGTTCGATAATTTATTAAAATTACATAAGCAATATTGGTCTCATTTGAAAGATCATGAAAAATAAAAAATGTTGATATAAATTTTATAAAAATCGGATCAAAAATAAAAAAGTTATTATCATTTTTTAACAACAAAAGCAAAAAAAAAAAGAGTCAAGCTGCGTCGTTTTGCAACCGGGCGCACCATCCTCATGGTGCGCCGGTTGCACCGTATAATCTGCGGTGCGTATACCGTGCAACGGGTGCATGGTGAGCACCATGCACCCATTGCATATTATTTTCTCTTTTTAAAAAAATGGTAATAACTTTTTTATTTTTGATCCGATTTTTATAAAATTTATATCAACATTTTTTATTTTTCATGATCTTTCAAATGAGACCAATATTGCCTATGTAATTTTAACATATTAACATTTGCGTGTAAAATATGTAACTTTACGTATGTAACTCACGTTCAGTCAGGCAAAATGCAACTCGTGTGTATAAATATGTATCTCTACGTGTAACAATATTTAACTTTACGTAAAAAAATATGTAACTCGCGTTCAGACAGGTCAAATGCAACTCGTGTGTGTAAATATGTAACTCGCGTGTATAAATATGTAACTTTACGTGTAAAAATATGTAACTTTACGTGTAAATATATGTAAGTCGCGTTCATGCATGTCAAATGCAACTCGTGTGTATATATATGTAACTCGCTTATAAAAAGATGCAACTTGCTTATAAAAAGATGTAACTTGCTTATAAAACGATGTAACTCGCTCATAAAATTAAAAGATGTAACTCAATGTATTATCAAATGTAACTGAGGCCACTGATCCACTCCCAAACAGATTCGATCTTCTATTTCTCAAACCTATCATCTCCCAAACAGATTCGATTTTCCTTATAATCCAATACTCATTAATATAATAGTTCGATAATTTCTTAAAATTACATAAGCAATATTGGTCTCATTTGAAAGATCATGAAAAATAAAAAATGTTGATATAAATTTTATAAAAATCGGATCACAAATAAAAAAGTAATTATCATTTTTTAACAACAAAAGCAAAAAAAAAAGGCTTGCTGCGTCGTTTTGTAACCGGACGCACCATCCTCATGGTGCGCCGATTGCACGGTATAATTTGCCATGTTTTTGTACGTCAAAGAAAATTTTCATGTCATTTTTGTATTTTGAATAATTTCCTATAAAGTACTTTCTATATTGTTGGTCAAAATTTAAGCCGATTGAACTAAAATTTAAAATTGACAAAATTTTAAGAGACAAAGAAGTATGAGGTAAATGGAAGGGGTGATTATAGATCAAATCAAACTTCTTCAATCCTCCTCTGATCTATCTATATAAGCTAGCGTCTTTCCTTGTATAAACTCAGCCACAATTATAAGTAGAGTATATATTACTCTGTAGTACTACACTATTACTATACAAATGAAAATGATGAGCAACGAGCTTAAGTACTCGGCAAGCCCATTGATGAGCATAATAATCACTACACAGTTAATAATAATGGTATTGTTCTGCAGTGGTGATGTCTGTGCAGCCGAGTGGTTGTCGTCATCGTCGTCGTCGTCAGTGTCCGCAGCGGCGGCCTCTTGCTACAGAAAATTCGTATATGATGCTTGCAATATGGAAGAGTTCATAAACAAAAGCTTGTGCGGCGAGACTCTCACTCCATACGCCGACTATATTAAGGGAAGCCGGCGGCGGCTGGCCCAGGCTGCGTTAACACACAGTAAGGCCCAGGTTCGGGATGCGGCGGATTTCCTCTTGGACGAGCTGCTGCAGCCGAAGGCGCCGGCCGCTACCGATGAAAACGCCGTTGACTTATCCAGTAAAGGGGCGATGAGTGATTGCCAAGAACAAATAGCTGACGCTGAAGATCAGTACATTCCATCCTTGGCCGAGCTGGCAAAAGCCCAGCCAAGCAATAAAATGGCATTCATTACTCATACCGGCAATGCGCAGACATGGATTTCCGCCGCTTTGACCTATTTTACCACTTGCCTCGACGGGTTGGGTGGACCCCAAGCCGCCGCAGCCGCCGCAGCCGCCGCATCATCAGTTCCGTCGGCTCAGGCACAGTTGATCAATAGAGTTTATCTGGCAGCAAACCTCACTGAGATCTCACTTGCCTTTATTAATCGCTTCGCCCATTCCCCTACCAAAAGTTGCTCCCAGTATAAATAAGATCGACTAGTTAATTAGTTATATTTCATTATTAAAATAAGTTATTTAGGTGTGTGAAGAGTATAAGCCTTATGAGTGAATGAATCAGGCCAATCTTCTAGTGCAATGGCATTATTGTGACACTAATATACATTTCATAATCAAAAACAAATTTTGTTTCAATCTTTTTATTCGAAAGATCAGTCCGTCAAGACGATTCGCCGACAGATGAAGACGATTCGCCGACCGGCGAACCGGATGCTTAACGCCACTTCGCCAACTGGCGTTACCTGCGCTTTCATGTCTCCAACGACGGCTTGCAATCGGGATCTCATCGACGAAGTGAACCGTATCCTTTGTTTCATTTATTCTCTTATGATATGATTTTTGTTTTACTCTCTTTCAAACAGTAGACAAGACATCTAGTTTCAGTCCTTAGGAAAGCAAGTTCTAAGACACTCTCAAAAAAAGGTTACATGATCGAAACATATAAGTCTAAGAATGTTAGAATTTAAGAAACAGCGCGCATATATTAAAAATAGCGCGCATTCATTCTACCATAGTACATAGTAATAGAAGTTGCAATTTAATAGATGAAAATGTTAAAAATGCCCAATGTTGAAATTTGTTTTATTTTTGGTGGGTTTTACCATCGATTGTAAATGACTTTTGTATATATTATTTTTATATAGTACTACGTACTATAGTAGTATGTTATACTTCGTATATCTTGACGAAGTTGCAATTTAATAGATGAAAAAACAATACGGAGTAATTTTTTAGAATGAAAAATGGGGTAGTGCGTGTAAGTTTTAGGTATGAGCAAATGATGACAAGTGTTTAAGTATATGACATAGACAAAAGGTTTTATTATACGGAGTATGCAAGAAAAATTGTAGTTTCTGAGTACATCTATCAAGAAAAAACATTAATTAAACTGCTGAAGATGAAACAATACAAAACACAACAATTCAACACTAATTTTTAGTTTTTGTTTAAAATGACTCCATAGTAACAACAGTTTAAGGCTTTAAGGAGAAGCAAAAATATACGTCATCCCTCCCTGCTCGATCAGCTGATCACCACCGGGGGAGGATCTGAGGCGGAGCGGCATAGTGCAAGCGACTTCACTTCCGGTCCCAAAAATAAACTTTAGTACTCAACACATAGACTTATGCTCCTGTTTCGATCTGGTTCAATATTACTGGTTCTTGGGTGAGTGTTTACATAGACTTGTTACATTTGAAGAAAAGAAATGACTTATAATTCAAAACTCAAGGATTATTTTGATTTTGAGCATTGTCTAAATAAAACAATATAAAACGGTAGAGGTTGGTTTAGATTAAGGCTATTAATGACTCGAGCCAAGCCCGAACATCCGGAGCTCGAGCTCGATTCATTAAGGTAGCAATGGAGTTCGATTCGTGATTGTAGCTCGAAGACCTATACAAATAAGACATGAATTCAACTCAATAGCTAGGTGTTTGGTTTGAGTAATTGATAAGCTCCATAAATATGTGCTCGAATGTAAAAGTCTAATTTATGCTTGTTAACTAGTTCGTGCTCAGATTACTAGACGTACTCGAATCTTTAATTAACAAAAGCAATACTACCTTCACTCCGTTAAGATTGTCTCATCTTTTCATTTTAGTTCGTCCTTAAAAGATTGTCTTATATCAAATCTGGTGATGTTTGTGAGGTTCAAAATCATTCTTACATTGTTCACTTAATCAATTCAATATAAATCATAGAAACTCGCTTTTCTTGATGATCGCACCACCTCCTCTATACCAATTGTAAGGGGAGCGGAGGTAGTATTGAATAACAAAATCTAACACAATGACTATAAAGAAAATAGCGAATTCAACATTGATTTGTTAAGGATTTATACGGGAATTTTTCACAGTTGCACGTTAACTTTGAAATAGTTCACAGCAAAATGGCTCTGAAAAGTGTTTTTCAAGGAATTTGCCATAGATTAGCAGATCTTGTCAAACTCAGAGTCAAAATACATGCAAAAGTGGCTATGACGTGAACAAATTAGCATCGATTCGTGGCCAATTCAAAAATGTGTCAATGCGTATTAAATTAGTGTTAGACCCTTTGATTATTTGCAATGCGAAATAATAAAAGTTCAATTTGAAAAATAGGATTATTCAAGGAAAATTGTCCTAAATAGGAGTAAATAACTTTTGCAATTCCAAAGTAGGACTGTTATGTTTTTCTTCCCGAAATAGGAGTCGTTACTGTCATGAATGAAAAATATTGGCATGATTGAAAAAAATAATGCCATTAGTTATAATAAATATTGCCATATTGAGTACACAGTACTGCAATTATTTGGCAGTCATCCCTACAAGATGGCAGTAAATAATGTCATGCTAGTCCTATTTCGAGAAGAAAAACATAGGACTCCTATTTTGGAATTTCAAACCTCATTTACTCTCATATTTGGGAAATCTCCCATTATTCAATTGAATTGTGTTGAAAGAAGGAATAGTAAACTTGAATTGTACTGAATTGAAATTATGGCCATATATAGTATGAAAAATAATTGAAACACAAGGAATACAAAAAAGTATAATTAAGTCTAATTTATAATTAATTAAATTTAATTTTAATAACAATTAACATAAAAAATACAAAAAAGTATATCTTCTTATTTCATCAAATTGATAAGTACGAAACACACGAATTTATTTGTTTAAATTTAACAATCAACATTAGTGATAATTCAAATCAATATTGGTACAAACAATCAGTACTAACATTACTGATACATAAACAAACATTACTGATAAATAAAAAAACAACATTACAAATAACTTCAAACAAATTCAAGATTTTTTCTCCTCGGAAGGGGTACATTTTACAAACACTTTACTTTAAGAAGCTTGCCAATCATCCCAGCTATAGAGAAAAGGGCTCGCTTATCCTGAAAAAGCAATGGTACGTAGACCATCCATTCAAATCCTAAAATTTTACCCTCCTCGGAACGAACGGGGACCGCCGAGTCGTTGACTAGAACGGATCAGACCGGGATTGCCCAGCCGTCAATCGAACCGAACAAGTATCGCCTGGTCATGGATCAGACCGGATAGGGACCGTCGATTCATAGACCGGATCGGATAGGGACCGTCGGGTCGTGGACCGGATTGGGTAGGGGCCGCCAGGTCATGGACTGGACCAGACTGGGATTGTCGGGTCATGGACCGGACCGGACAGGGCCTGTCGGGTTGTCTACCAGACCGAGACCATCGGGTCGTCAACCGGACTAGACCAGGATTGCTCGGCCGTTGACCGGACCGGACATGGACCGTCGAGACGGTCAGGTCAATGACCGGACTAGACCGTCGGCTCATAGACCGGACCAGATAGGGATCGTTGGTTCATTGACCGGAACAGATAAGGACCGTCACATTGTTGATCGGACTGGATTGGAACTCACACCGGAGTAGGACCGGATCCAACACTAGGCGTAAGTCTGCAAATTCATTACAACGGCACTGTTGCATCCGCATTTTCCAAATTTGGAAAAGTAGTAAAAGTCACTTCTCATATTCATTAAGGAAAACAGAGATATATCATTTTTTGGTTTTGGAAAAGGATTTGGTAAACACAATTTTTTGTTTTCCTTTCTCCAATTTTCCAGCAGTTTTTTAGGTAAACACGTTTTCTGTTTTCCTTTTTCTAGTTTTCCAGTTTTCTGGAAAACTGGAAAATATCTCTGTTAGTAAACTGATCCTAAAATATTTAGAAAACTATATTACAAACTGATTTAATTAAATATTGTTAAAAATTGTTTGTATTAAAAATTGTTAAAAATTGTTTTTATTAAATGCGTTTACATTCTTAAATCATTAAACAGATAAAAACCATTAATTTTTAAACCGCTTAAAAATTAATGTTTCAAAAACCGTTTAAAAGTATAAAAGTGTTAACAGTTTGAAAGACTGTTGCAAAATGTTTTTTAAGCTATAACTGTTTTTTTATTGGAAACTGGTATATAATATTAAATTCAAATTCACAGTACAATCATAAAATTTGCAAACAAAAAGTAACTCCCTCTAACCCAAAATTACCAAAAGCCTAGTGGCTCCCTCACCCCTAGATCAGACATAGAATAGTCCACCCCGAAAAGAGCAAGACTAATCGCTGAAAAAGTGAGAGCTTCGAGGCTATTAACGGCTGGGCTGAATCAACCTGATTGCCTCCAAACAGGAATCTATCAACTATAACAAACAAAAAATTCTACCCCCCTTATTGTTTGTCATGAAAATGACAAAATAGAAATAGTAAAACAGTATGGACTGAAAATAACAAAATAGAACAAGTAAAATAATCTTCCAAACCCTAGCCGCACAGTTCCTCCATGGCGACGGTTTGGGAGGGGGACGAATCGTCATCTCCTTGCCTTCTTCCTCCATCACCCAAATTTGGAATTCTTCATATCACAGATCCCAGACCACAATTGTTCCACCCGGATCAAACATCGCTGGTGCAGCTTCCATCTGAATAATCAACAAAGCCAGAATAGCCAAACCAAGCAATGGAACATCAAGTCTCGCAACCATCACAGCGCCTTCCCTTATTATGTCACTCTCATTACATGATTGACTGGTGCAGCAAATCCGAAACACCCAATGTAGGACCAATCCCTTTCTCCCTTCGAACGCCCAACCTGGATCCAGCAACTCCCCAAGCTTCCGTCTGGATCCTTGCGAACGTTTCTGCTTGACTTGAAGATCGGATAGCGATACCCCAAACTATGCGGACAAAACTGCTGCCACTAACCCTAGGCAACACTGCCTACCCTTCCGCTCAGTTAAGCTATAATTGTTAAAATATCAATTTTTCATGAAACATATTGTTAAAAACTGTTTTTATTAAAAACTGCTATGAACTGTTTTTATTAAAAATGATTAAACTGTTAAATCAATAAACAGTTAAAAACCATTAATTTTTAAACCACTTAAAAATTAATGTTTGAAAAACCGTTTAAAAGTATAAAAGTGTTAACAGTTTGAAAAATTGTTGCAAACTGTTTTTTTTAAGCTAAAACTTCCTTCTCATATAAATTTTTAAAAAAGCAATAGTGTTAAAAAAATATTAAAAATTGTTATAAACTGTTTTTATTAAAAATGTATAAACTGTAAAATCATTAAACTGTTAAAAAC